GGGTTAGTTTAGTGAAGATATTATATATTTGGAGTTTTATATATTAGAAATTAATAATTATTTTTAATAAAAAATTCAAGTTGTTAATAAGCAAAACTATAAAGAGTTATTCTTTATTACAAGTAATTATAATCTTAATATATATAATTTACAGTACTATGTTTTATATAACTCTTTTATATCTTATATTACTTAAACTAATTTTAATACTTGAATGTTCTAAATATACTAAAATTAATAAAATTCTCTAATTCTTTATACCTTTTTTCCTTCTTTAATCTCTTTAACTTACTAAAACTCCCTTATATCTTTTATTATATAAAAGAGTTTAGCTCTTTTATTACTAAGAAGTCTATTAAAGATTAGAAATCTGCATATTCATTGAGAAGGTATTAATTAGTTCTAGTATAGAACTTGACCAGAAATTTGGTTATACTAGAGTTTAGGTCTTTAACAAATCAATACAACAAATCTAATAATTAACTCTAAGTAGAAGGCTAAAAGAGGGTATGAAGGATTTGGTCTAAGTTTTAAGGTTGCAGAGATGATTTCTTTAAGCAAGTATTATTCTGTTCTTAGGTTTTTGTTTTAGTCATTCTAGTTTTAATTCTTAATTAGAGATGCTTTCTTATATTAATAATTCTAATTATATAATATGTGATTTAATCCTTTTTCTTATTAGTTAGTAAATTATTAATAGGATTCAAAGTGTGTATCAATAAAACTATTTATAAGTGATTTGTTTTAACAATAGAAAGGTAAAACAATATAGATCTTAGTTAATTTTAATAATAACAAATTTCAAATACTAAACTTCTACTTGAATTTTGAAGTATTGGTTATTAGTTATCTTGAATTTATCAAAATTCTGAACTTAAAACTTATTCTTTTCAAAATTGAACTTGTAAAAAGTTATTATTTTTATACTTTTTGTAATACTAGTAAATACATTTTGAATAAAATCAATTTTTGAATTTATGCCATAAATTCAATAAATCTGATAAATTAGATAAATCAGATATATTTAATAAATTTGATAAATTCAATAAATTTGATAAATTTAATAAATTGAATTTAATATATTAATATAACAAATTTTCTTGTTATTTACAGGAAATGATCTACTCTAATAAGCTACAGGTGATAAATCTTTTACTCTCAAAGGCTATATACAACAATAATAATGCTAAAAATAAATATACAATACTAATAAATAAAATAAAAAAAAAAAAAATAAAACAGGTCAAAGGCCAGAAGGTTATGCTAGCTTTTTATACTGTATGTATATACTGCAGCACTCTGACCTCTGACCCTCACGTGTCTTCTGAAGTAACTTCCATATTTTACAATATATTAGTTGGATTCGAACCTCTGTATACCTAAACCTCCAGATGAGTTCTAATCTAGAACTAATCATCACTTTTTCAATATCCTAAATATTCCTTTCAATAAGAAAAATAAATAATATCATACTTATCTGAAAACTTAAAGGTAGAATCTGTCTTCTTTGAAATTCGACTTTAAAACTTTAAATCCATTCGAGACTCAATTCAACAGACCGAATTGACTTGTAACTTTGAATTGGAAATTAACATTTGGATTCTGACTAACTGATAGCCAGAAGACTACGTGATTAGACTGGAAGATCATACCTAAGAAGAAATTAAAGATCAGTTGTGATAAATTCTTAAGTTACCTATGCCCTTGATATCAATAAAGGGATTTATTATACTTATCTACACTTATAAAAATCAATCAAACCCTTCTTATTCATAAACTATTAGGACTAAATTGGCCTCTAAGTTATAAATAGTTTTTATACCCGATATTGCACTCCCAAAACTGATAGTTACAGTATCTAAATTTATTAACAGTTAAGTATTGGCGCAATTCTAATAGTTAGAATATACGTAAATTCTTGAAAAGTACATATCAAAAATAATTATATACATATATAACCTATTCTTATTCTTCTTTGTTACAGTCTGAGTCCTTTGAAAAAAAAAGAATCCTACTAAGAATTCTAAAAGAATAATAGTCCTATGCATTCTTTCACTGTTTAGCACTCTTTATCTGTGGAAGAGGTAAATTATTATACTCATTATTAATATTATATCTCTTTTTTAATACTAGTTGTTCTATGTATTTACCTTTGAATGATATTATTAGATTTTACTAGAACCTTATACTTACAGTATCTTTCGTCGAATTCTGGATAAGAAATGAGAAGAAAATTGATTGATATTTTTAATCATTGGCTTAAAGTATCCAAAGATAAATTGTCTGCTATTATCAATATTGTTGAAATGTTATACACTGCTAGTTTATTGTAAGTAAAATCTCTACTCTTCATTAATTTTTTTTTATAATATTTATTATTCATTTTTTTACTCAAAAAAATAGAATATATGACGTAGAAGATAATACCATTTTGCGTCATAGTATTCCTGGTAACTGTCTTTTCCTAATAATTATTAAATAATATTTTATGTACTAATTATAATAAATTTATTAGGTCGCCTATTCTATATATGGAGTGTCTTCAACTATAAATTGTGCAAATTATGTTTATTTCCTTACTTTGAATGAACTTATAAAGTTTAATAATCTGGAACTGCTCAAAGTTTACTAGTAATATGAACTGAGTGAGTGGGCCGAGGGTCGGCTCACACCTTCATGGGCCGAGGCCAATCAAAGTAAAGTAAATTTTTATAATTTGAGCCAGCTCGCATAATGCTGGCTAGCTGGCTTACTTAATACCAGTGGAATTAAAATCAGCATCTTACACAACCCAAATCTTTTCATTTAGTATGAGAGTGTAAAGATGATTTATTATCCGGTGTTAAAATCAGCAAACTATGAAAATAATACTTAGTTACCACAACCTAAATACTCTTAAAAATCTTTTTCATTTAATAGGTGAGTATAAAGATAATTTATTATATGTGTTGAATTAAAATCAGCAAACTATTAACTTATATTTATTTACTACAATCCAATCCTCTTAAATATTCATCCAGTAAGTGGTATAAAGATTATTTATTATTCGGAGAAATATCTGAGTCCTGATACTTAGTACTGGTACTTCTTTAAACTAATAAAATCACAATACTAAGTGTAATGTGATAGATAGTTTTGTGATTACTATTATTTTCATTACTCCTGAGACATCTAATTAAAAATTAGACTACAAACAGAATCGATTGTTACTCTGCAGTATTCCAGTTGCCGGGTGACCAAAATAAACTAAACACGGCACACGAAAGTGACTCTACCAGCAACTAAGGTACAGAACACAAGGGCCATCACCCTTGTACCTCAGAAACATAAGACAGCACAATCAGAAGAGAGAAAAGTCGGAAGGAAAATGAACGAAAAAGGGGAGAAAAACAAAGAGAAAGAAAATGGGATGACTCAGAATAAGAAGCTATCTTTGGAATGAAACACTAATAAAATACCTAGTTCTTCGGGTCTGAATTTAACAAACACAGATCATACAAGTTGGGCAGATGAGTTAGACTCAAGAGACAGAGAGAAAGCAATACAAATTAGAGACAGAGAGGAAAACGATAGTGAGAAGGATTCAATAGAAAATTCGAATAACACTCAGGCTAAAAGTACAGAAGAAATTTCCGAGATCCTATTAGGTGATGAGATGACCTTAGATCAGATAGTCTAGCACAAACAAGATAGAAGTGGTTCGGAACAGAGAAATGTAAAAAAGAACACACCTAATACACAACCTACTAGAAAGTGGTCTAGTCTTTTTACCTGGCTAGAAAGGGGAAAAGCTATATACACTACTTTTTCTGCAAGAAAAAATATAAGTACCAAGAATGAAAACGTATTAATTTTTGATCTACAAAGACTAAGAGACATCTCAACGAATAAAATTGTGTCGGCTATATACAACAATTTAGGAGAAGACCTTATCAGAGCTATGCCACATTATACAAAAGGCTTCTGTACATACTTAGAGCTAATTTTTGCTGATAACCAAACAATGAGGATATATGCAGAGAACGGAATCACTATCTTTAACCAAACATTCTTCGGGTTTATCTCAAGCAGGACATAGAGCTCTTTTTTGACAGTTAAACTCTGAAAATTCCTTATAAAAAGAAAGGATATTATTTCCAAGGAAATAATGAATGCATTTGAGAAGCTGGACAAGATCGTATCAGTCAAACTACTGCTATATAAAAACACACCGATCTTGACAGATCAGTGGTTGATTATTTTCAATATAACTGAGAACACGGATCTAACAAACAGAATTCTCAGGTTTGTGAATATTTTAGAACAAAAGGTCACAACAGAGTAAAGAGATGCCCCAAAGCTCTGCTATTTCTGTGATCAGGAAGGGCATCTAAAAAGAGACTGCGAACAACTAAAAGAAGCCAATAAACTAAAGCAACAATATAAAGAATTCTAGGAGATTAAAAACAGAGTTAATAGTCATACTAACCTCTCTAATTTGCAAGATACCATAGAATCTGAGAGCAATGCTAATATTACACAGATCAATACAGATGAATCTCCTGCAAAAGAATCAAATGAATTACAAACATTACTTAATGAAGAGAAAGTAACTCAGGTGAAACGATCTGAATCAACTACACAAGCTACATATGGAGCTTCAGCATCAGAAAATTCAAAAACAGAAGTAGAAGTAAATTCTATGACAGAATTAGCTATGCATTCAGAAGAAGTTGATATAGAATCTCAAGAAGAATCAGAAGACGGAGACGATAGCTTCATAGAGATAGTCAATAGGAGAAAAAAAGATAAAAGTAAAAGCACAAAGTCAGAAGAAATAAGATTAAATCTATATAAAAAACAGAAAAAAAAGAAATGAGTAAAAAGAAGATCATCAAAATTGCGACGTTAAACGTAAAGGGACTTAATAATAATGAGAAATATAGAAAAACACTTTCATTAATTAAGAGCTACAAAATAGACATAATACTATTACAGGAAACAAGACTGAACAATAAGAACCATATGAACTTTATTAAACGCCAATGGATGTATAACTCGATTTGGACTTCAATGACAGCAATTTTGGCTGGAAATAAAAATATTAGACTGAAGACGGAACAAATTTCCCAAGACGAAAGAATTATTATAGTAAACTTTACCTATAATCATAAGGCATTCCATTTAGTAAATATCTATATGCCTTTAAATCAAAGCAATAGAGTAACATTCTACAACAATTTGACCTTACATAAAAAAAGAAATGTTATAAATATAATAGCTGGAGACCTGAATACAAATTTAGATCTAGTAAATAACAGAATTAGCTAGACAACAGACTATTATAATTACTCTAGAGAATTATTGAGACAGATAACATCAGGTTTTACGGATACTGCTGATATAACTGAAGAAAAGCCCTTCATCACATATCAACAAAAAGTCAAAAACAGACAAACAATAGCAACTAAGCTTGACTACATATTCATCGATGAAGATCACACTCATTTATGTCATAGAATTGAAACTCATTATAGAAATTCAGACCACTTGTTGGTCGAATGCACACTCACTCATCCCTCACCCCACTCATTACCACTAGTATAGAAACTAGATCCATACTTATTAAAGATACCTAGAATGAAGGAGGAAATAATTGAAGAATTGCTGAATGTAAAACGCAAAGAGAATTGGAATCTCTGCAAAATACAAATTCAATCAATATTTAGAGCCTACAAACCTCTACCAAAACCAGAATCAAGGCTTCAGAAGCTAAGCAAGAGTATCACAAAAATAATGAATAGACTAGCACAGGACCCTTCGCTTTCAGATCTTAATTTGGTTCTAGAACAATTAAGCACAGAAAAGAATGAGGAACTATTAAACCTAGTGAACACTTAGCAAATAAGATTGAAGGCTAGATAGGTAGAAGATGGTGAGAAATCAACTAAATACTTCTATAAACGATTTAAATCAAGACATGACATATCAGTATTGAAAAGAATTAAAGATCCTAATGAGCCAGAGAAAAAAGAGCCCATAGACATTTTAAACTATATTAAAAGAAGTTATGAGAACAAGTTTAGAAAAGAACCTATAGACAAGGAGGCAGTATACACAATGACAGAGAACCTTCCAGAGGTCTTATAAGACCAAAACGCAGTATTAATTAAGGAGATCACTACAGAAGAAATTGAAGCAACTATAAGAAAGCTACTGAATAACAAATTCCCAAGTACCGATGGAATAACCTATGAGTTTTTCAAAACTTATATAAACGAGGTTATACTGATTTTGTATAAAATCTTTAATGAAGTTCTCCACTTCGGCTTTCTCCTGAGAACTTGGTGCAAAAGTATCTTAACTCTAATTCTGAAGAAAGACAACAAATTAGAGGAGCTTACAAGTTGGAGACCCATCTCTCTTGTGAACTGCGACACCAAAATATTCATGAAAATTATCGCAGAGAGACTTAACGATATTTGTAAGACAATAGTGGGCCCCAACAACAAGGTTTTATAAAAGGAATGTATATTTTGGATGCAGCAATGAACACAATCTCAGTGATGAGAAACTAGTTTGATCAATTACAAAGTAACTGGATAGTGTTTATGGACCAAGAAAAGGCGTTTGATAGGATGAGTCACGAATTTTTAGAATCAGTCCTAAAAAAAATAAAATTCAGCTAAGAGTTTATAAGATTAATCAAATGTCTCTTCTCAGAACAAACAGCATATATAATGGATAAAAAACTTCTGTCAACACTAATCAGAATAGAAAGAGAAGTAAGACAGGGTGACCCGCTTTCACCTCTCTTATATATACTTTCCTTGGAACCTTTCATAAGAGCTCTGGAGAAAAGACTATATGGCATCTGGCTTAATGGTCACTCCTTTAAAGTATCAGCTTACGCAAATAACATAACTGTAGGACTGAGTGCCCCTAGTGATTGGGTGGCTTTTAAACAACTAGCAAAACTATATGAAAAGGCGGCAAATGCAAAAATTAATAAAAATAAGACAATAATCGTCCTCCTAACAGACCTTGCAATAAATAGTGAGCTAGCAGGGGAACAGGACTTTGTTATAAGCAGAGACAATACTACGATCAAAACCCTGGCCTTCACTATAGACAGAAAAGGCCACCCAGATAAAAATCTGTGGCATAAAACTATACTGGGATTAAAAAATACTATTCATAAAATGAGCAATAGGAACCTCTCTTTTACAAGACGTATATTGCTGGCGAAATCATTTCTGCTTTCAAGAGTTTGGTACGTAGCATATATTTAGCCTCCCATGAGAAAAGAAATATCAGAAATAAATAATCTAATAATGACATGGATCAAAAACAATTCGCGGCTACTGCCTAGTTGCGCAAGTTTTTAGCTACTCTATAAGGAAAATGAGCTAAGGGCACCAATAGTAAAATATATGTTAGATGCCAGATTAGTGGCGATTTGGATTAAATTGTTAACCAGTGAAGTACTATGGATGAAAATGGAAAGAGGATTAATCGACGTGAGGTTACGGGAAAGAAGAGGTATAATTGTATTCAGGGCGTTATCAGCAGGTACAACCAAATTAAAAGCATGGCCAGAAGTTTGGAAACCCTTTCTAACTGCCTAGAAATATCTAGAGGGTCAGATATTATATCCGTCTAAGACCTAGCTCTGGAGTTTAGATGAAATTGAAATAAATAAGAAAAAAGGATATGAATTCACAGTTTCAGGTGTATCAGAATTTTTAAGATGTACATTAGTTCACCCAAGTATGTCATAGCAAAATATGTTCTCAACACAATCGGGCAAAGACCACTGGGTCTGGAAGTGCCTGAACTAGATCCCTAATAAAAAGAAAGATATTTTTTGGCGAATAATTTATAAAGCACTCTTACTGGGAAACAGGATTGCTCATTTTTCACCAGACATATCTAGAGATTGTCTATAGTGCTCAGACATGGTTCAAAACATGGAACATTTTGTCCTAAACTGTAGGCTTAGTAAAAAGATATGGGATTGGGGCTACAGCTTTTTGAAATTGGAAAGGATCCCTCATCTGACAACAATTGAGGAGATCATTACAGCTTCGAATGCTACGGAACAAACAAATAAAAAGTTGATAATCTGGCTTCATGTGAACTTGATTTATGAGCTTTGGTGTTTATACATGAACAGAAGGTGAGGTGACACTTATATTCCAGAGGCAATATTGCATAGAACATAGGAAATCAGACTGAAAAAAGAAATTTCAGTACTTTTACATAGTGTTAAACTTAGGAAAAGTGCAGAAGTACTATTGAAATTGTTTAATCAATAACTGTATTATAATCGCTTGTAATTTCGTACCACAATAACAAATTAATAAAATATGACTATGTCATCCTCATAGCACTTTGCTATGGAGGTATAAAAAAAAAAAAAAAAAAAAAAAAAAAAAATTAGACTACCTAATTTGATAAGTTTTTGATTTTGGTATACGTATAATATATATATTAATTATGCTGAAATCAAAAATTTATCGAATCGGATAGTCTAATTTTTAATTAGGTGTTCCAAGTAATGAAATTAGCTATATTTGACTAGGAATTTTTTTATTTTATTACAGCAGTTTTCATTATTTTGGGATATCTGGTAAAAAATTGACTGAATGATTTTTTGCTGATTTGATAAGTTTTTGATTTCAGTAATGATCGATTATATAATAATGTATATATCTTTGATAAATGACAATAATCTGTACAGGGAAAACTTGTAAGTATCGGATTTTACAATAAGAGATGTCAAACGATAATTAATGTTGATCAAATATTACAGTATCAGTCACAGTTAGTATAATTTGTTAAAGATTGTATCAATACAAAATATAATTGAAAATCCGATAACAGGTTTTTTCTTGGCAGCACTAATTTATATTAAATATAATACTTACAGGTCTTTCCTGTGTAGTACTCATATTTCACATTTAACTCATTTAACTGCGGTTATTTTTGACATGCGTCTTTATAATATTTAACATATATGAATAAGCTAAAGGATCTTTAATCGTCAAATCCATTGTTTCAATACTCTCATCTAATTATTGCTAGTTTTCTTTTTGACTTATATTTTGTAATAATTATTATATATTAAAGCTTTTAAATAAACTATTATTGATTTTGTTGATATAATTCTTAATATAGTTTCGACAAAGAACTATATAATCTTAGTTGCTTAAAATAATAACTCATATTATATAGTTTTAAACCAGTAATCAATTTTGGTTCATATTGAATTTTTCATTAATGCCTGCTCATGTATTTATTATGAAAGCTTGTCTTATATTCTAAACATTTTTTATATTTTTTGTCAAGATCTGTTAGTTGGCAAGAACAATGTACTAAGTATACTGGACATAGGTTTAAGTGTTAACTTAATTTTGGATGCATTGAAATTGTAGTATCATCCAAATGCAATTACAAAAACATTGTTATATATTGTAACAAATTAAAAAGTTTTTCGGTTTACTCCTATTAATTACATTTATTTTTATTTTATTATTTTTTTTTTTCCGCTTAGGTAATCTTGCATTTTCTTTATTAGGAGAAAACATATACATATGTTAAAACAAAAATAAAAACTATACTAAGCTAGTTCTAAAATTGTC